GAGGTTGGATCCTACCTGGGTCTCCATGGTAAACACCAGGTAAAGATGGACTGCCAGACCGTGAACTGAATTCTTTGTGGTGTAAATCACCCCCCCCCCAAAAAAAGAGAGGGAATTCCCCAAACCACTGACATCGGGGCTATCCACCTGCAAGACCTCTGTCTTGTCCAGGTTCAACCTCAGTCCATTCGACTGCATCCATTGTAGGATGGCCTCCAGGCAGCGCCCAAGGGATGGAAGAGCATCCACTGCAGATGAGGAAAAAAGAGATATAGAGCTGGATGTCATCAGTATATTGGTGACACAAAGCTCCACATCCCTGCCTGACCTGCCCCAGTGGCCACATATAGCTATTAAGCAACATTTGGGAAATGATCGAACCCTGTGAAACCCAACAATTGAGGGGCCATCAAGCTGAACTCTCTGGGGACGGCCCTCCAAGAAGGACTGGAGCCAAGAGCAAGGCCACCAATCTCCAACTTGGGGAGCCTCCCCAGGAGGATACCGTGCTCGACAGTATCAAAGGCAGCTGAGATATCAAGGAGGACCAGCAAGGACATTTTGCCCCTGTCAGTCTCCCTAAGTAGGTCATCCAGCAGGGCAACCAAGGCCATTTCTGTGGCATGGCGTAGCCTGAAGCCCAACTGAAATGGATCCAGGGCATCAGATTCATCCAAGAGAGCCTGAAGCCACCACCCTCTCAATTACCTTGCTAAGCAAAGAAACACTGGTGATGGGCCTATAATTGCCAATGTTGCCCGCCGCCAAGCTCAGTTTCTTTCTAATGAGCCTAATGAGCAAGAGGAAACAGGACTTGCCAGCCTGTGCAAACCTTCATATCGCTTCCTGTTTGCTAAGAAAACCCAGTTCTGTAACTACACTGGGAGTGGAGAAATTTCCAGCCAAGAAGATCCATTGGGAGTCACCCATGCCCCTCCTAACTTCTCCAAACTTTCCTTAGGGACAACTGACCTAACTTGAATAGATGTGACACTACCTGCTCAAAGGCATTTTCCCTGAGCACCTGAAGCTTAGTCAGAGCTAAAGGGATACTAAATACAAATCTAAGTCAGATTCAATACATTTAACTCAGAACTGAAATAACAGGTACTTTAGAAACTAGATTGGGAAGACATTTTGGAGAGAACCCAGAAAACAGAACAGGAAAAGTGCAGCAAAATCATTCAAGGATATGGGAAGGCAAGGGGGGGGGTTACATTTGCAGCAGGAAAAGAACAGTTCTGGCTCAAGAACACATTTCAGGAGGTTTAATTAAAATTCTTAATCTGATGATGAACTATGAATTAAGTAGAATAAATTCAGCAATTCCAAATATGTATCATTTGACGATTTTCTGTTTTAAATGAGGAGCAAGAAGCTTGCAAAGCATTTAAATCTAACAGCATGACCCATCTAGGGACTACACACCTGTGAAAGGCTAAGTGAGAAATCAAACCCATAGGTACAAGTGAATTCGTTCCATGTACAGTGGGGTCTTGACTTAAGAACGGCTCGAGTTAAGAACATTTTGACCGGATCAAATGGTTTTCAATGCATTCCTATGGGAAATGCAGATCTGACCTGAGAACTTTTTGACTTGAGAACCGCCTTCCAATACGGATTAAGTTCTCAAGTCAAGACCCCACTGTATGTTCCCCTTTCATACTGATTTGCATATATCAGCCCATCTTCAGGAAATTCCACTACTGCACTGAAGGAATGGATTATACAGATGATTGACATTAATAATTTTTGGAGTGATGATTGGTAAGGATAATCTTGGCTATCAAAATTGTTCAGTTACATGAGGCCTAGCTGTTTAGAAAAAGGTGGAATAATCTTCACTATCCTTCTGTTTGCAAAAAAAAAAATAAAAAAAAAATCCAGCTTCAGAACATATTTCAGGTTGTTTTGAAGTTGTTGTTTTTTTAAAAAAAAATCAGCATCAGCTAATTATATCCCTGGAGTCAATCTTGTTAACTGTTTTGCACTTTATATGCAGAATTTTCAATAGTTGTACTATCAAAAAACCTTGCACATAAGACCTCAAAAAACTGCTTACAGAAGCACATTTCCACTTAAAGCTGATAGTCTCTGAGAACTCCCTTGTCCCTGCATATTACAACCAACTATTCTAATTCTAGGCATTTATTTATACCCCTTGGATTTCCTACAGTGGCATATTTCCTAGCATAGTTTTGGCTTTTCAAGATGCCAATCATGTGTGTAAATATTTCACTTACTTGTGCACTTCATTTCGGTGGTATTTTCCCCCAGAAGGGTCCTGATTATGATAAGCGCTAAATGTCCAAAATCCTGCTAGCTTTCCCACACACACACACAGTCACAGATGTTGCGGTGCCTAACAAGATAACACTCATGTGCCTAGTTGCAAGCTAATCACTCAAGGAGGCAAGCAACCAGGCAGCAAGACTTGACTTTATAATCTACACCTTGTTAATTAGCCTCAATTAGCTACCATGACATCCATGATTGCACCACTGTTCATGGGGAGAAAATAATAATAGGATTTCAGCCAAAATGTTTTTCTTAATAACTTCCATTTCCACAGTTTGCTGTCAAATGCAACAGAATCTTACAGGGCCAGTCAAGCAAGGAAATAAATTAATGTATCATAAATGAAATTATGAAGACCACCCCCACCTAAGAATCTGAAGGTTTGCTATTAGTTAGAAGAAACCACTTTGTGCTAATTGAACTCAAGGTATAAATCATATGTACAGGCTGTAGGACTTAAACCACTGGGTTTTTTTCAAAGCACTGGTTTTACCAGGAACAATCTAGCACAGAAGTGAAATTATAAGCTATTTTCAACAGAGCTGTTCCTATAATGGCACCAATAAAACACAATTTGTTGAAGAAGGCTTTATATTATTCATAATGGTAATTATTTTCACTTACAGTGTCAGTATT